GTTAGTACTTTGTGGGGTGTGACAGGTACAGAGTGAGCCGTACAGTCACTAGTGGCAAAATATTTTAAAGCCAAGATGCCAATTTACTACTAGAAGTAGTAGTCAAACAACTACAAAATAGTTGATTCTGACATAAGGCCTGGCTTTGCTTTAGCACACACAGCTGTGTAAATTGAACGTACATACTTAATCTAGATATGCTGGGGTGTTCTTATATAACATCCTGAAAGCATGGCGTTTTCATACATTCATACATATATTCATGGATTTGGAGCAGCAGTGGGTCATGAGGTGTACTTGATTAGAGCACAAAAAAAAGAAAAAAGCAGAAAAAAAAGGAAGCAATCCCCCTACCTAACCTGCATTGTTCATGAGATCAAGAACAGATTTATCCTTCACTTAAACAGAAGTAGTTAAAGCTAGGAGGTGACTCACTCTGTAAAAGCACATCTCCCTTGTATGATTTTTCTACAAAGCGAGGTTTAATTTCTTCCTTTCAGTGACAATGAGCACAATACCGATCTTCCAGCAGTTAATAGATGGTGTATCAGCAGGCAGTATGAGAGCATGACATTCTTCAGCCTTCTTCTGGAGCTATAATCCGCATCACACTCTGAGACCACAGAACCAACCACCAAACCTGCTTCTTTCCCCTCTCAAACACAGCTAACCCAAGTTGTGAAATTCTGACCTGCCAGTCATGCTGGCAAAGCTCCTTCTCTACTGGAAGTAGGGATGTGAAAAGTCACATCACAAATACAGCCACAGATGGCTTTTTATTTTCAAGTGCTCTGCACACACTGTAATAGCCCATAGGCAAGAACAGATTTGGACTGATGGCCCATGGAGCTGGGCCAACTAAAAAAAAAAAAAAAAAGGAGGTCTGACCATTACATCAGGAAGATGCACTAACTTAGAGAACAGGAAGCAAAGACATGTGAGTTCTTCAGCGTCATTTTCCACCAAATCTCTGAATGACTTCTGGCAATTCTCCTTTCACATTCTGCCTACTGTGAGTACTCCTGCATGCACTGGGCTTCTCTGCTATTATACACACATTATTTACACCAAAAAACAATCAAGTTCAAGTTCTATTTTAAATATGTTTTGACACATCAATCTTGAAAGAAAAGGCATAATGTTCCATATGCTATAAAGGAAAAAAAAAAGAAAATGTGTAATGGAGAAATTTATGTTCATGTGCCATGGTTAGAAAATCACTAGAATTAAGACATTCACAAATACATTATTCAATTTAAATAAATGCATGGCACCATCAAAGAGAGAAAGCAACTGGATCACTGGGCTTTGTTTTTTAGGCAAAACTACCAACAGAACCTGTGAAAGGTCCTTGTTACCTACTGGTCTGTGAACAGTGAGTCATGAGAAAAAAAACCAGTGCCCTTTCCATGCAAACCTCCTGCCTTCCTAATTGATGACTTAGTGATCAGCTCGACAAGAGCTCAGGACCAACAAGGCGAGCATCCCATTCAAGTTGAATCTTTCACCACTTGATATAGAAAGGGGGATTCACAGTGCGTCCTTGAAGTGTAAACTGAACCTAGAGTGAGTTGGGTAAAATAATTTCTGTTCAGACATACCCAGATTCTGAGGTGGTTACTTTTTTTCTGTATTGGAATGAAAGGGCTAGTCAGAAATTCAGTGGAATTCAAATTCCAGAGTATTTTAATTGTAAGGTAAGAAGATATTTTCAGTGTTGAACAAATATTTAGCACACAGTTCACCACAAATTTCTGAGAACTCTAACAATAATTTGAAGGCTCTTATTTTATCAAAACTGAGGAACTATCCACTAGCCCCTCCCACTAGCCATTTTGGTGACAACTGCTGTTTCACTGGAAAGCTAATCTGTCAGAAGGAAAGCCCAAATTAACCCTTCTTTTAAATACAGAGTAAGGAACATTCCAACTGTTTAAGTATCCCTCAGTGTGCATGGTAAACCTCCAACTACAGTAAAACCCTGCTTAATGTGTGGCAAGACAAACCTGAGACTAAGAGGCCCATCACCCCTTCCTTGCAGAGAACACGAGAAAAACTGCCTGAAGCCTTTCTATTCCTGGAGAATATGGGCAATTGCTGTTACAAGCAAACAACTGAATGAATATATTCTGGCTAGAAGGTAAAGGTATTTATGGATTCTTCTACTCTGATCAGTAAAAAAAATTACCTTGTAAATGTCTTGAGCAATAGGTCATTTTACACCCACGCAGTGTTCTGTTTGTCTGAAAAGACTTCATTTATGGTCTCAGTTGAGATACCTTTCCAGTCCGAAACCACGTAAACCTAAACATTTAGAAGGGAAAGGTTATAACAAGGAACATAAGAATGTATTGTTTCACAGACGGTGATGACGTAATTCCTGAAAGATGAACAAGCTTCACAAAGTAAAACCAAAAAAGAAAACACCATGTTAATGCAATCTACAGTCCCCTTGAAGTTACTAATTCCTCTTTATATGCTTTGATGTGACCTGAATACAGTAGTTAAGATGCAGTATGGATCAAACTTGGAAGTTATTGATGAGTAACCTATAAAGCAAATGGAAGATGCAGCTTCTAAACAGTTTGAAATCATGGCCAATAGGTTTATTTGAAACTAGAGGACACATTCTTGCACAGGTTTTAAAAACTTTCTGGACCACAGCTATTTAGCTGTTTTTAGATTGGCATGGACTGCTGGCAAAGAAGTCTCTTAAATAAAAGTATGACAATAATTCATTTTATGCCTGCTGTGATTCTTAAAATCTGAGAACAAAGTCATCTTTTCCTACACAAACATCTGCAGGAATGTAAAAGGCCTCCTGAATCCACAATTTTAATTTCAGTAGTTTCCTGCAGGGAGTGAGGAAGACATAGGCCAGTTCTACAATCACAAAAAATAAGAGAAGTATTGGGCAGTTTCAGGTAGAAACCCTGAAAGCAGCTAGAATAAGCCAATGCTTAAAAATGGTAGTGGGACATCCTTTCTAAACTACCTTTGACAGCCACATAAATCATACAGTTCTAGGGCTTTGGGCCTGTGCTGCCTTTGGGCTGTTGCTCACAGCCTCCCTATCTTTGCTGCTAGGGGAAAAACTCGGTCAGGCAATGACTGAGGGCTGCATCCCTTTTCGGCAAAACTCTTAAGGGTCCCACAGCCTTTAAATGAAACTTATATGCTTCAAGTTAAGGGAGTTCTTCCAAGGTTTACTCATGGGGCAAAGGAGTAACTTAGATTTCAGCTGGAAGGGACCTACAACGATCATCTAGCCCAACTGCCTGACCAATTCAGAGAACTTCAGCCTATGCTTAACTGTTTTCTTGACGCAGGGACTTGGATATCCTTGTACGTGTGACTTTCATCCGAGGCCATACGCAGCCACTTCATCCTGGGGTGTGACTTGCCCTATTAATTAATGAGTATATGGCTGTAGTGGTCTACAAGGTTACTGCCTCCTGCTCTTCACTGTCAGCACAGTGCCAGAGTTTCCTGCCCAGCAGTAAGTCAGATGATTCCGTTCATGTCGCACATATAGGCAATACACAAAACAAGAGGCAGGCGCTTCCAGTTAGAGATCTGGGAGATTACTGCTATTTAGCCCATTCTGATCAACTAGATGAAGACTTAAATTACATCTTTCCACTTCTGTAATTCCATGGAATTAGTTCTGGAAGCTCAGTCAAAACTTCTTTCTTGATCCAGACTTGAAATTTTATTCAAAATCAGCCTTTAAATAGCCATAGCTATACCTCAGTCACTTAGTGAGAAGCCAGACAGCAATTTTACTTATGCAAAACTCAAGTTCACATTTGTCATACTAGAGCACAGGAGTGTTTTCTAATTTTTTTTTTATTTGAGATATTGCAGATCTTTCTTATGATACACATTGATGGAGCTTCTGGTAGCAGGCTTTCAAAAATAATTAGAATGATGAATCAGAATCAGAAATAAATGACTCTTACATCTATTAAGATAGTTATTTAAAAAATGTTTTGATGAATCATGCAAAAATGCTCGCAAACAGCATTACACTTTTTCATAGATACATCTTCTGTTTTTCCTAAGTCTTATGAAAAGAGTTTGTGCTTTTAACACTTGAATCAAAAAAATATTTCCAGCAGACATCATAAATGCTACATTGCAGTTCAGACAGGCAAAATGGTGTTGGTCCCCTGCTTTGCCATTCACAAATCATGGTGAGGGTTTCAGATCTGTATAAACTCCCAATTTAATAGTGTTCAGTCCTGGATCTTCAGTATGCTCCTTTTCTCCAAATCATTCATCTCCTTCAGTATAAGGGCAACATTGTATCTCAATTCTTGAAACTTTGCAACTGGCACCTGAAACAGAATATTCAGGTTAGAAAACACTAAACATCTTTGGTACTTGGACTAGGGCATGCCTACAGATAGGGAATGTTCAGATCATCAGTCCAACCTCTCAAAATGCCTTTTTTTTTTAGACTTAAGACAAAAGATTTGAGGTTAATAAAATTCAGTTAATTCAACTAAATCATCTGGGTGAAAAAGGAGAGTGGGAAAAGCAGAAATAACAGCTACATTAGTACATCTTCTATACTGCCTGATGTGAGAAAGGAAGTCCTTCTGAATGGAAACTGATGGCTGCTGTAAAGTAAGAGAGTCATGGACTGGAAGGAAAGACACCTGGAAAGTTCATGGAGCCTACAGAATTCTCAAGCAACAAATTCCAGATATTCTGCTTGTCCAAACTTCCAAGAGAAAGGAATTGAGGCTCAAAGCAAGGCACTCAGCAGCAACCTCGAGAGAGAAGAGGACTGAGCACTGTCAATACATGAAAGGCAAAAGATTTTGATTAAATATACAAAACATTTTCAACCGTGCAGGAGACTAATGGACTTCCCTTTACCATTTCAAGCCTGAGAAGCCAGATGCATGAAAATCTATTAAGACAGAGAACCACATCTGAGCACAGGCACAGACTGGGTGACAGAGATTAACATCAGCGCAGTGCACAAACGCATGTGCTCACGTGAGTACCGACAGCAGCCTAGCTCATCCCAGGCTGCTCTGCAGAGCACTGCCTAATTTACTCTACTCTGACGACACTGAAGACACGCAGTTCTTTTGACAGAGTCCCTTGTCATCCTTCTGCCTACTGTAGCAGATATCAATTATGTGAGGAATCCAACATCTGATTTGCATTTTCCATATGCATCAGAAATGCAGAAAAAGGCATCATGTCCTTTTCACTTTTGACATATATACAAGACTTGAAATGCTGCAATTTCCATTGCTTTTAAAAAAAAAAATCATTGTTAGAAATCATACTGCAATTAAAAAACCAAACCAAACCCAAGAGACCAAAGAGCGTAACTTCTCCATGTGGCATGCACATTTTAAAACTGTTCATAACAGAATTATCTTCTGGACTTACCATTTTACATAAGCCCTGTTACTTAGCAAGGCCTTCTGAACATGTCTGAATGAAAGGAAATTGTAGAGTTGAGGACTATATTTACTGGCACATGGCAGCTTGAACCAAAACACAGGTTTATCCCAAAGAGCGACTAACTGCAAGAGGACCACTCATCAGGTACAGAAATCCTGTTTACAGACAGATCTTTCGCATTCTGATCTAGCAGCAGCAAGCAAAGAGCTGATTCTAAGAGAAGCACATTGTTTGCTATCAGATATCTGCACTTCTGTGTGTACCTGGACAGGCATACCAACGCATCTCCACTGCAGAATAGCAAAGGGTCTGCCACAGATTTACAACAAAAAACCCTAAAACCAAACCAACCAGGAAAAATGCCACTGAGACTTGACATTAAATACCAGGAAATAAAGCCCCAAATCTAAATAGTAAAGAATATATACTAGTTTTTATTCTCACACATGAAACTTACCCTGTTGGAAAGCGTTAGCCTGAAGTTCAGGGAATCACTTAAGTTCCATGGAAGACCTCAAACAGAGTGTACAGGATGCTCTGAGCTGGACTGTCAGAGGGGTGAATCTGATCTCCTGTGAAGTGACACCCTCAACACTTTGCAGTGTAGCACAGAATTTGTGCCTTCCTCAATAGCTGCCCTCTTGTGAAGCACTGTAACAGTAAAATCAGTCCATCTCTTCCAACCCACAGTGCTTTGGTGCTTCCTCCAGACTACTACTAGCACATTAACTGAATTCAAAATCTCTACAGAATTCAAATGTAACAATGCCTACTGTGCACTGAATTCTTGTATGCACGACCATGTTATTTATAGAACAAATAGCATTCCTTTTCAAAGGTTAAAAATATGGAAGAGTTTATGCCATCTTCTGGCAAGCCTTTATGTACAGTGTCATAAATACTGGCACTGACTAAGTCTGAGGTAAAAAGCAAAGAGGTTTTTTTATTTTCATTCTGGCAGCAAGAACTGTACTGAAGAAAAAGAATAAAACTACCTCTGCCACAGAAGAGAATGTTACCATTCTCTACCAAATGTAGGAGGTTATATAATGTATTATACATTTCTAAAACTACCCCAGTAATGTTTCTGCCTTCAAGAGCCACCATCAGGTCTGAAAGTTACAGTTGATAACAAAACAGTAATTTTTAGTCAAACCAGACAGTGCTTTTCAGTAATTTTTTTCTAAAAATGAGGTTTCAGCAAAATATGCATAGGAACAAGGCACGAAATTATTTTGGTTAGCATTTGTTTATATATTGTATGCAGCTACACTGAACATGAAGGATTCCAAAGCAAACTGATCAATAATGATGCATTGTTTAAAAAAGCTTTAATATTTGAAATAGTAATTCAACTTTCTAAAAAGAACTTCAAGTGGTTTCTTTTTTATTTATTATGGCGATCAGACTTACTTCAAAGCGATGAGCTGTCCCATCTGAAAGCTTCATCATCATTAGAATGGATGGTTGCAGTGCACGGGCCAGTGAACTGAAATTATTTAAATTATTAGTATTACAACAATAATCATCAGCAGTGTGATGAGTACAGCATTGTACATTAACAATCATGATGTTCATGTAGGCTTTACACAGAACCTGAGTAATTTCAATCATAGAGTCCTGTACTGGGCTGGCTGGAAACTCATGAACATAGGAGGCCTGGCCAATTTACCTCCAAATTGAGACTAAAAATTTTTTTTATTAGTTTAGTAACTGCAAGTTTAGGAGCATACTGATTGTACATAGTAATCAGTTTAGTAGAATGATGACAGGGATAAGAGCTACCCAATACTGCTAGTAATAATGTACAGTGTTCTATGCAGTTTACCATGTTGCATTAATCCTTTCCATCCCTTCATACTTTCAACTACCATCTCATTTGGAGAATCAAGCTCTTCCAGTCTCCATCCGAAAATTGTGGGATGTTATTTTATTTGATGACCCAAAGAGGGGAAATGAGTCATTCTTGTGCAGCTTCCATCAACTGATGTTGCCAAAGCCTGCTCAGGTACTGACAGGCGTTACAGCCAGAAGCCATACCTCTTTGCAGAGGCTGTTGTTGGATGATAAACATCCCAGGGGGGAGGTTGACTGGAAAGGAACATAAGAGGAAGGAAAATAGAAAAGGATAATGTATTGCTCCTGTGTTATTTGGAAAACAAATCATAGGATTTGCCTGCAGCTTGCAAGCATTGTGCCTGAGGATGTTTATCTGTACATTTTGCTCTCTTAAAGGTACATATTTTTTCTGCATAGTGATACCAGTGTGGTACTCACAGCACTGCTCATCTGAGAGTCATCTGAACTAGTAGCTTGTGGCCATAACAATTTTCACTTAGGAGCCTTTTTTCTTGATTTCAGGAAGACTATCCCTGATTATGGACTTCTCAACTACAGCAGCGAGGAGACTGCACGCTCCCTTGGATGCAGGTATTTGTGAATGCAATATGAAGTCCCTCACAGTAACAATTTACACTACTGAAAATACTGGATCATCTTCCGATTTCTTTCACCCTGGTCCATCTCAGTTAGAACTAGACAAAGACCAGGAACAGTCCAGACATCAGGTTTCTGTTTCATTCTGGCAATTGCCAAAGGTCCATACCCCAGCTGCCTCTGCTGTGGCAGATGGCAAGAAGCTATTCGCTGAGGGCACAGACAGGATGATCACAACAGCCTTTACTACTGTTTCGTGAAAGAAACTTAGGAGGCAGATCAATGACCAGTTGCATAACTGTGGCAATGTAAAGGTGCTGTTCTGAAGCCTCTCTTTGTAGAATCTACAGCAGATTGCAGGTGATGGAAAGCAATTTTATTTAACGTGTACAACATAGAAATGATAGTCTACTTGGGAAGTTGAATAGATGATTTCCCTCTCCTGCTCCAGTGAAACTGAGAGCTTGGCTGGCTGTGTGAGGCTCAACCCATCTAATTTATTCCATCATCCCTGAGGACCCATGGAGTTGTATCAGCTCCATTAAGTTTTAAAATATTGAGAGACTCGGACTTTGAGTGCAATATTTCTAGCACAGAGGTTTTAGAGATCAAAACAAATAAGGAGCCTAAAAAGTATCATTAGTAGAAGATGAAGGCAGCAGCCTGTTGGCAGGTTCATGGTAACAGCAGTAACTCGTATATAAACTGACTTCTACACTGTTCAGAAAATGCCCTCCATATCTTGCCATTTAATGCTACAAGACAATCCCTAACAGCAACAAGATACATTTTAACACTTAACATTTTTAAGCAGCTCAAGATGTCAGTTTAACCTTGGGCAATATTATTTCTAGGGTCATGCTGGATTCTCTTTTATACCTTGTGGATATAGCTACGTCCACTCTCCACTTGAAGTCCTGGACACTCGGCAGCCTACTTCCTCGTATCAGAGCTGTGCCTTCGGAAGCAGGACGCCTACAGAGTAAATCAGAAATGGGAGGCTGAAATGCAAATTCGTAAAAGAAACAACAATCTAAAGAGAAAATAAGGTTCCTCAACAACAAACCTGTCTGGAACTTGTTTCTCTCCTGCATCTATTCTCATTTAGAGAGGTCTGAATGAGTAGAGGTTAGGTGTATTTAAAGACAGCTATGCTCAGATTACCCACTTCTATGCTTAACTATGGTCCACGCTAGAAAAAAGAGACCAAGTGACTATGCAATTCCAGTAAACTGATGTCACTGTAAAGTTTAGTAGGAGTCATTGTGGTGGCTGGCATATCTTATTTAAATTATATGCAACTGTGAGGCATAGAAGGGGATCTGCAAATATATCTTTACCTTCATGCAGGTCCAACAGGAACAAACAAGCAGAAAGAAGACAGATGAGCAAAAAAGTTGGAGTAAGGTCACTGTGCTCCTTCAGCAGAAAGCTTCTAGTATTAGTCAGCAGCAGTGTTTTAAAATGTAATAATATTAGAGTGTACTTGCAAGCATAATTTAAAAAAAATAAAGTCACACAGTGGTTCTTGCTAATCCAACTTAATTTACAAACTTTAAGTTCCTTACATAATGTTCACTGTCAGTTCCAACACACCCTTCAAGATTTTTGTCTAGTCTAACGTGTAAGAAGCCAAGGACTTAATTTATTACTCATATTGCAGGATGAATCAGGCTGATCAAGCCTCAAGTTTATTTCTGCGAGGAAATACAGTTGACACTGATTAAACTTCAGATAGTTGACAATCTTTAAAATTTTAACAGCTTCTTAAGCTCTGGGTAAGTAAACAAGCCAAATCTGATACAAAGACATAACCACCACCCACTTTTAGATATCTATATGCAGAAATATCTTCAGAATGAGGTCACTCAGCTGGTCCACGAAGAAGCCATTCTGGACTTTTTGTTACCTTTTTTTTTTTTTTTTTTTTTTTTTTTTTTTTTTTTTTTTTTTTGAAGTTATTTATGGTACATTTCAAAGCTACTCCAGTACTCCTGGTAAGGGCAGGATAAGAAATGTTACATCCTTTATCCATGGTGCTAGACATAATCTAATTACAGACTTTACATCAGGAAGGAATCCTCTCTGAACAAATCAAGGACTGTAGGAATGACAGTCTAGCATCCCTACTCAGATTCTTGTGTGCAAGTTATCTGGTGCCTTTAGAAACTGCCCAGAAAGATTAATGATTTGATAAGCTACATAGGACTGACAGGCTGAGGTCCTCTAATACTCCTGCATTTAGCAAAGGCATTACAGGAAAGAATTTATCCTTTTTTTTTTGGGGGGGGGTGGCGGGGTGGGGTGGGTGGTATCAGAAGTGACACACAATCCTAATAGCATGGTAAAGGAATGAACACAAAAAATAGATAAGATGGTTCTTACTCACTGCCAGCTACTGGATAGGAAGTAGGTCACCACAGCTGGGTGCAACCATGAGGAGCTGGAGTCTAGAATGGTCATTAGCTGGACTAAGCAGTAAGAAAGGCCTCTCCCTCAGTGGTGAGCTGCTGCCAGAGTACTGCTTAATTTGGGAAATGCCTAAAAATAGCCACACTGCTACCGCTACCCAAAGACATGCTAACTTCCATCATTGCAATACAGGCCATTCTGTGCAGCACCAGCATTTCAGGGGAAGAAAGACAGAGAAAAAAAGGAAGATGTTCTAGTTAGCGGTGGTGGGAAAGGTGAGCAGAACCCAGAGGTGAAGCTTCTGAGTATTGTTAAGCTGTGGCATTTCTGTGGCCAAACCACAAAGCTTTCGTTCTGGTCAGGACTGTACTTCAGTACCATTCCCTCAGAAAGAGTTGCAGCTTTTATATTTAGTTTAAGCTTCTGTCACCATCTTCCCCAGCTTGGGTAAGATTGCAGCTGGAACTGCAAGAATCCTGGAAGGATGACAGAATGTGCATGGTGTCCAACATACATACAGAAATTATACAGGCCATTAATCAAGCCATTGATTTCTAAGTGGAATAGCAAAATGGAGCAGAAAAGACTCAATTGATCTTATATCCAAAATCTATAGACTATAATTACATTTTGTAAACTCTGTGCCAACAGCTGCAATATATTGTCAGCACATAGTGCAGAAGGCAGAACAAGTAAAGAACCATGGATCAGCTACAGACCATCCAAATTATATGTCAGAAGGATGATACACCTGGTGACAAGAACAGCATTGCCAAAGGATGCAACAGAAGCACACTCAAAAATGAAAGATTAGAGAATTTGAAGCAGTAGTTAACCTAACAACATTGAAACTAAAGACAAATTTTGGATGGTTCCCTAGGCATGTAAGACATGCCTAGCAGGCCACTGAACAGGGAGAATGAATAAATTGGTGTGAAATGCTGACAAATAGCACAATGAATGCACTCTTCTAGGAGAAATGAAGGCTACACTATTAGAAAAAAAAAAACACCTCAGTACATTTATTATAAACATTCAGAGAGGGGGAAGTTAGGTTTATCCTTTCCCTTAAAAAAAAAGTTTTGATTTCATGCAGTTATTTGATAGTGTCAGCGTGGCAAGTTTTTCTTCCCTTTCAGTCTATGTAGCTTGATGGAACTGTGGGGACACAGAAATACAAATGTCAAATTTCCAGTACTTCAGAGCTGTTGTTTAGTGAACAAAATCACAAAAATAGGATAAGCTGCCACGAAAAGTATTAAAAATGGATTTTTCTAGGTTATTTAGCTCATACTGAATTTTTGATCAGATGCTAATACTTCTCTTACCATCACAATCATATATTTACAACTCAATAAGCATATGTATGATTCAGTGTTACATTTAAGATTATAAAAGCAAATCTGTCTAGAAATCAAATCTGAGGTGCTCTTCTATGGTCTCAAAACACAGAGCAAGATTACACTGGGTAATCACAGCTTTCAAAATGAGAAAAAGCTAAATTTTCCAGCATCGTGATTTCACAGTAGAAAACAGACAATCATGCATGCTTCAAATGACATCTAAATTTATCTTCTTTCTCCACTGCAAACAATATTTCCACTTTGCAACCATGAATTTTGCATTCTTAACACCTATAATTCAAACAGAAGAGCAAAGAAAAGATGAGAAGGCTGAATTTATTTTTACTCCAAGAACCTTTAGCTTTAAGCCAAGATCCTAACCAAGGAAATTAAAAATATTTTTAACTTTGGTAGCAGCACTCAGACTCTTGTGAGGGTAACTGAAATACCACAACTATGATTATCAGGATTCCATGCAGAATATCTGGAGCAGTGTTGGGTTAGTGATGCCTATGTGCTGAGTGACCTCAAGTCAAGGAGGAAAGTTTTGCATATGCAAAAGGTTCAAGCAATTTCTAGATGTAAAATAATCTAAATATGGTTGAGCAGAGGACCATATAGAAAAAAGGAACCCCAAGAATGGACAAGAGAAATAGGCTGCTCAAAAAGTAGTGATTTAATATTTCCTCTGGAGCTACTGAGGTATACTGCTTAGAAAATGAATTACAGCTAGGAGAGCACTTGATATCTCATACGTGTCATCAAGTCACTCAGTGTGAATATCCAATTCAACTGTACAAAACGCTATCTGAGAAAGCTTCCATGAACCGTAGCATGTAAAAGGCATATGTAGCCTGCCTCTCAACAAAGCAAGTCCTTCACTTGTGCTCTAACTTGCAATGATAACAATGATAAAAATGCTTAATTCTGCAGTGCATTTTTCATCTGTAGGTATTGACACACCGTACGGCGTCTACAGAACTTTATAAAAACTGATGGGTGGTGATCACAGAAAAATTGAAAATTGGCATGAAAGGTACTTACAGCATATATAGCCACACACGATGGACATCATATTATGTTGAATCAGAATAATGGGACAAATCTTATTCTCATTAATTTAGAGAATTTTGCTGTTCCTTCAGTAGGCCTGGGATTTTTGTCAGCAGAGCTCTGTACAACCCTGCTGGTTGCACAATGCACGGTACATGAAGATACTAACCTGTTACCAAAGACTAT